GCTCTTCCGATCTAAAATGCGCCGACAATAGTCTATTGAAGTTGTAAATTAAAAAAAAGTAAAGTACATAAAGTTTCCGAAAAAAAAAAAGGATTTATGAGAATCTCATTTTAATCAATTAGATCGGAAGATGTATGCCAATTAATGAAGAAGCAATTTAATTTTTGCAATCAATAATAAATCTACTGAAGAATGAAAATAATCAAAAGTAACAAAGGGTAATAGCAAAAGTAATGTCCATCAACAGTGGAAGAAGTAATTTAATTTGTTTATAGATTTGTTATTGATTGCAAAAGTAAGAAAGGTATAGCGCCACTTATTGTGGCACTATACCTGGACACAGTCAGGTATAGCGCCAGGTATTGTGGCACTATATATAAAAATGTAACTTTTTTTTTTACCACCTATTTGTGTACTTTGAGTCCAAAAGAACCACATTTTGATTCCGGACTCTTACGCAGGTGGAGTCAGAAATTTAATTTTTTGAGTTCTCAATTTTAAATTGTTGATAACTTTTATGAGTTTTAAATTTAGTATTTTTACATATTTTATAAGTTTATTAACAGAATACACTATGTGAATAAAAACGATAGGTTCAGCTGTATCCATACTTAAACTTTTAGCTCTACCCTTTCTGTAGAAACCAGGGGCAGACCTACAGTGTCGGATGCGAGTTCGGCCAAACCTAATAACTTTTGTTCATACTTTATATATTTTTTAAAATCCATTGAATATATATAAAATAAAAATATATAATTTAGAACGCTATAACTTAAAAGGATTACAACGTCAAACCCATAAATTTCAAATCCTGACTCCGACGGTCTATTAATTCCACTTCTTCTTGAAATTCATATTGTAAATTCCATTAGGCTTTACAATGAATGCAAAATCTAATTGAAAATTGAAATAAAGGCAAATATTTCGGTACATGCAATTTAACCAGCACATAGGATACAAATACAATGATCACTAAATTAATGAAACTATTATTAAAGACGAGTTGCATTAATCAAGGATATTGTAACTGAAATTACAATTATTCAACTTCATTGAGTGGTAAAATCATATGTTGAGCTGTATACAATTATTAAACCGCAGGTATTATTTGCTCATTTAAACCACTAACAAGAATCATTAAAATCTTTGTATTACAAAAATTCTTGGAACTTGAGGAGTCTCTGAACCCCCTCTTCCCACAACCTATGCCAGTATTCCCTCCGGTTCACAATAAGTGATCAATTTATTTTTTTATTTTAGTCCAAAATAAGTGTCCATTTATATAATCAAGAAAATATTCAATTTGTTTTTCCAAAATTACCCTTATGTACGTATCCCTAAAAAGTCTTTTACTCATCACATTAAATTATGCTGCAATATTTAATTAAGGATAGTTTAATCACACTAATTATTTTTGTCTAAAATTTAGTATTTCCTTAATAGGCGTGCCCAAAGCAAATTGGTCACCTATTATGGATCGTAGGGAGTAGTACACTGTATTACTCCCCCGTTTATTTTTAGTTGTCCACTTTTGATTTTGCACTTCCTAAAAAATGAAATATGTATTTTATAATTTTACTCATAATAATAATAATAATAACATTTTAAAAAGTATTAAAAAATAATATGGGGAATGAGTAGTTAACGATAAGCATAAAACAGAAAACAAATATTATATTTTTTTTGATTTGGTAAAATAGACAAGTAAAAGTTAAAATGTAATTTTAGTATAGTGGACAAGTAAAAGTGAATGGAAGAAGTATTAACTGGTATATATTTTCTTCTTTTTAACCTTGCGAAATTAAATAAAAGTAGATTTTTGTGACTATAAAAGCATGCAACAAAAGTAAATAAGGTTAAATTATTAATATAAAAATATGTAATTCTCTTAAAAACAAAAAGAAAATATAGACACAAAAATAGTAATAGAGGATGTGTGTACATATATTCAAATCCAAGTGAGAGAAAAAGGTTCTGAAAGTTGAATTTAATAAAATTAATCAAATATGATAGAGTCTTTGGTACATTTGAAATCGAATAGAATAAGATGCATGCAAAAAATTCATATAAGTCAATTTCATGTAGTGTCCTTTTTTTCTTTTTAATTTCAAGTAGTTTAGAATTCCCTACATATCTAATGTAAGATATATAGTACTCTTTCCGATCCACTTTAAGTAATTTTTTGGCTATTTTTACACATATTAAAGAATTCACCTTTTAGCACTAATTAACAATGAAATTAACCATATTAACCCTAATTTGCTCATTGAAAATATAGCAAACTACTCATGGGCTCTTAACTCCAAAGACAACTTTGGAAAGAAAAAATTAATTTCTTATTTGAAAAAAATCAAATATTGTGGACCAAAAATAAAAAATAAAAATAAAATCACTAAATATAAAACCTATAGGGTCCTTGTGTGGGTCACCTCAGAAGTGGCACGCGTCATGGAGAAGTGGGAGGACGTGGTGGGGTGGGGTGGTTTGGAGAGAGGGGGGGGGGGGTGGGTTTCAAATTTGATACATGGGAGTGGGGCATGAAAAAAAAGACTAGAGAAAAAGAGACCCCCTTTGAATTTGAATGGCTATAAACCTGAAAATATTTTACTACTCCTACTAATACTAATACTAAATTCTTTTTTTTTTTTTTTTGGTTTGGGTTCAAACTAAATTGTTATTCTCTATAGAGGGTCTCTTTCAATTATTTTTATATTTGTAAGGCTTCATCTTGAGTATAAATACCATACTGTATCTCCTGTTCCTATTTAATTTGCTATCTTTTGTAATTCTTGAATTTGAGTGCTAATCTCTCTTAGCTTGAAGATATACAATCCCTTTCTTGTAAGTTTCTCTTGTTTTTCCTTTCATTTCTCTGTACATTCTCTTGATTTCCCTTTTTTATTTGATGTTTGTTTGGTTATAACCTGTTATTTATGCTACAAAATCACTTTTTGGCAACTGGGGTTTTCTTCACTCTCTCTTATTTCCTTTATTTCTCCCTACTTTGTTGTGCTATTGCTTCAAAAGCTGCTTTTCTCATTTGGGGTTTGCCCAAAGTTTCAATCTTTTCTACATTTTGTTCTTTGTTTTGTTTTTGTGTCCTTTTTTGCAATGTTTATTCAGGGATTTTCTTGATTTTTGTCTTTTTGTCATTTTCTTGGATTACTGTGTGTTTCTTTTTTTTTTTTTTTGGGTCCCCGTTTGAGGTTTCCATATGCTTAACTGCTTATGTTGTCGTTGGTTAAAATTGTCTCATTCTATTTCCTAGTGCTTGTTTCCTTGTAGTTTATAGAGATGAAACTCATCAGCTGTTTTGATTCTTAAATAAATATCTGGTATTCTTGTATTGCTCTTGCCTTTTTTTAATTAGTAGTAATAATGCTCTTTATATAGTATGTTGGCTTTCTGATAATTCTTTAGAACAACTTTTTGTGTTCTAAAGGCAGCTTCTTTTATGTTCTACTTTCAGAAAATTCTGCTGCATAAGAGATTGTTCAAGGCATAAGTTATTGTCCCATTCATATCTAGTCTGTGAAAGTTGTTAGATAAACCGAATTGCAGACCAAAAGTATGGGGGATCACTTTGTTTTTCTGGTTGATCGGTTGCTAACTGAATCAACTTTAGAGGCTGCAATTGAGAGCAGGAATCAGAATCAGTTGGCATCTTGGACGATCAATGACCCGACAGCTGATTGCTCGTCCCAAGATTCTGGTGCTGTTTTGACTGCAGGGAAAATGGTAGAATGCAGGATATGCCAAGATGAGGATATGGATTCAAATATGGAAACTCCTTGCTCTTGCTGCGGTAGTTTGAAGGTTTGTGGACCTTTCTTTGTTATTACTATTAGTACTCCCTACCGTTTTAATTTATGTGCCTTACTTTTCTTTTTAGTCTATTTAAAAAGAATGTCGCTTTCTATATTTGGTAGCTTTTTAACTCCAACATTATGCATGGCATATTTAAGACCACAAGATTCAGGGACATTTTAGTATATTATACACATCTTTACTTTAGGATGTGTACCACACGATTTAAAAGTCTTTCATACTTTTCTTGAACTCCATGCCCACATAGAGTTAGCCAATGCTTATTCCCCAGATACCGTCATTACCTCTTCTCCCGAAAAGAAGTTCACGACCCATGGACCAAGGACACATAAATAAACTTAACTAACATATAAATTGAAACGACGGGATTAGTATTTTCTGTTGAAGTATGCAAAGAATTGGTGTTTTTGTCTGTTGATATGCTTGTGCTTCTGACAGGCTTAATGTAAAACTTGGTATTTTTGCCCAAAATCAAATTTGTGTTATGCATGCAAAGTCATATTTAGTCTTCTTTTTCCTACAAGAGAATTTCTATTTCAAATGGTCACAGGCGTATTTAAATGCTGATATTCTGCGTACCAAAAGATTCTGCCTTAAGGCGGATATGGCCATGTGGAGGATATGCTACCGAGTACTGATATCTGAATCTTGCTTCTCAAAGAATTTGTTGACATATCTTTTTTCATTGCGCTGCTCTTATAGCTGTTTACTGCCTTTTAAACAATTTCTGTTTGTTTATATATCTAACCGTGAAAGTAGGCTCATATGGGTTCCTTTTGTCTTTTGGGCCTTGAACCTGTTTATTATTTCAAATTACTAACTGTCCACCTTAAAAATGCTGAGGATCCTGCCCCTCATTCTTTTTCATTTTAAGATCTAGAACCTTATGTAACTTCTATTAAAGATTATCAATGTCTTGCCAGAATCCTTTTGTGAATGGTAAAGCTGACACAAGTGGCCTAAGTTAGATTTACTACTGGAATTACATGATTAAACTTGCACAGTGCTCTGTTACCGTGCATTTGACGGATTAGTTTCTCTTCTTGAATTTGATGTTTGATATTGAATACAGTAAACTTTGGGAGAGGGGAAAGAAAAGGGAAGGTACAATGTCCTAACCCTTACTCTGTTAAACATATTAGGATGTCTGATTCCTGTATGGTGCTAATATACTACTCATAAGTCATTTTGAATTTAAACTTGATACTCTTACTCTAGCTACTCCATCTTTTCCTAAATGCATTATTATTAACGTTTTTTTTTTCTTAAACGTGCTTTACAACTGTTTTTGGATTGTCTGTTTTCTTCCAGTATGCACATCGGAGATGCGTGCAAAGGTGGTGTAATGAGAAGGGTGATACCATTTGTGAGATCTGCCACCAGGTTAGATTTGTCATTTATTTTGTTTTCTCTATCTTACAGATTAAACAGGATTTGCAGCAATGCAACCACTTTTGCTGCTTCGAATCATCATTAGTATTTGTTGTTTGATTATTTGGGTTCGTTACAGTAGTTTAGAACGTGCATAATTGATTCAGTTAGTGTTGATTGCTTACTTATTCTTGCATTTGTGTTAAGTAGCCTTTCAGGCCTGGTTACTCAGCACCACCCTCTATTTTTCGCCTTGGTGGCATTCCAATGAACTTAAGGTATCTATTCTTCTTTCATGCTTTTCCGAAATATAGTAACTATGCATGTCAGATATTTCAATATTCTAATGTGACACCCACTGTTGTTTTTCTCATTAGCTCACTTGAGAACATATGTGTATGGTGTTTCTATCAGGGGGAATTGGCGAATTGTACGAAGGAACTTGAACAATCAACGTGTGATAGCGGTGGTTTCAGCTGATCACAATCTCATTAGCGCCGACTCTGCGGAAGATGCAGTTTCTACATCAAGAAACATGATGTGTTGTCGTGTACTAGCCATAATAGTAATCTCTCTCTCTCTCTCTCTCTCTCTCTCTCTCTCACACACACACACACACACACACACACACACATATATATGAATGATTGCATAACAGGGAATGTGTGCTATAATAACTATCCTGTGAGCAACAAATAGCCGAACAGGAATGTAATTAAATTGATGTGTGACAGAAAAAGTGATCACTCCGAAAAACATGAAAATGTACAACGTTCACGAGATTCTCTGCTCGGCTGGAGAACATCTCAAACAAGTAATAGCATAATTTCTGATATGTAAAATGCATCACTCACCCATTTTGAATCTGGAAGGAGTTCTTTGTACTCTGGGGAACCAGGCTTAGCAATTTCCTAATTTATATGGCTCATTCTAACTTTTCCTTTCCCATTTTTTCTTGATAGTTTATGCTGCTGCTTGTCATACGTCATGCTCTTCCCGCCATTGTCAATCAAGCAGGGGACTACTCACTTCCATTGATTGTGGTAAGGTTGTTGAATAGGGAATTGGAAATGTAAGCATTCCTATTATACAGAATGTCTTCTCACTTTTTACGATTGCTTGCAGCTTCTACTGCTAAGAGTTTCAGGCATTGTTCTACCCGTCTACATCATAATGAAAGCAGTGATCTCTTGCCACCACCGGCAACACCAACAGGTTTGCGAAAGCATAGTTTTTTTATTTCTATGTTTCACCTTAGCATACTTTGCCTACTAAGACGGACATTATTTGTTTGACCTTCACTACAGGCTACTTTGCCCATCTCTTCACCCCGTGAAGAAGCTAACGTGGTGACTCTGCAGCAGGAGCCTCCTGTAACTATCCAATGAATGGTTTTCACTGTTGAACCAAAAAGAAAGCTCATTCTTCAGCATCATCTCACAGCACATGTCGATCTTCATTTACTCTACTGTTATTACTCTCCCTTGCTGCAATGACTATGCTGCAGGAGTTGCTGCGTCAAATTTGTGGAGGATGATGAATAGACAAGAAGTTACAGATCGACGAAATTCAGTGAAGGTATATTCGAAATAGAAGCTAAAGGTAAAAGAAAGGACACACAAGAGATGAAAAAGAAGGCATGATATCCATTTTTACAACTAGAGATATCTGAAGGTCTGAATTAGTCAGAGAAAAATCCTTGTACAGTTATGTATATGAACATGTTGAAGTAATACAAAAACTGGCAAAAAGTTGTTACCTTTAGTATACTGATATGAGTTGTATTGTTGGATAAAGTTTGTCAGCCCAACTTGGAAGATGGTAAACATTTGCATGTACCTCGTGTTTACACGAAACCAATATATACATAACACACGTATCTGCATACACTCTTATCACTAAACCATATTGTAGTTAATTAATACACATTCTCATCTCAATTATAACTTAGCCATGGTAAATCGGTATGATTTGGTGTAAATATCGGATGCATGTAAGTTTTTACTTGTGGCAGATAACCTCAAATCCTATGGAAAAGCCAAGTATGAAAACCTTAAAGATTGTGCTTATTATAAAGATCAAATTTCCTTTACAGAGCTGAAAGGTAAACCTCATTCCTTAAGTGAGGAGTATATGAAGTTGGGAATCCGTATTTGAAAGTTGAAGGAATGTTTCTCAGACCATCAAAACTGAAATTAAAGTGAAACTATTTCTCCTATCTCTTCTTGATTCCATATCTTTCTAAGAGTTTGAAACATGTAAATAGACATCATGAAAGTAGACAACTTCTTAAATTATATGTGAATTTGTTTATATCAAATCCAGTTAATGCTAGCGTACATCTACAAAGACTACAACCTAATAATTTCGAATGACACGAAGTTGAGAAATCTTTGGAAATCGATTATGGCAGTTAATAAGTTGTTTTTATGTCACCAATAAGCAGTGTTTTAAAAGGCGTTTTCGGGGCGAGCCCCGGGGCGAGGCGCACCAAAAATGCCCCGAGGCGATGGTGTGGGGCGAAAGTCTCAAGAGGCGTACGCCCAGCAATTCGAGGCGTACGCCCGGGCTTTGAGGCGCGTTTTTGTAGTGAGGTGTACACCCCAGAGTCTTCTTCAAATTAAAACAAAATTTGTTGAATGTTATGAAATACATTTTATATGGATGTCCACTAATCAAATATAACTCCCACTACTCTTCTCCATTAACCTCCCACTGCTTCTTACCATTATGGTTGTAACTCCCACACCTCCATAACCTCCTCCATGATCTCAATAGTTAATACCATGTTCATGGCATCTCTTTGTATTACCTCAATATCATCCTATAAATAGAGGGTTTGGGCATCACATTGTACATACTTGAATAAATTGAAGAAATAAGAATTTCTGCTCTCTTTCTCTCTACATTCTTATCTATTTACTTGTTTCATACTATTACTTTGAGGTAAGTTTCTTAACGCGTTATCAGCACGATTGTTCTATGCGACAATTCTTCTCAACTTTTAGGAAATGTGTCACAACAAAGTTGATCTATTTTTGTATTACCATAGCCAAGTAACATTGTAGCTTCCAATGCGTAAGCCTGTTGGATTTCGTATGGACACTGAGACATATGTTCTATGGATTATCTTATTTTGGTAAGTGGTTCATCATTACAAGGTATGCTCCTAAGTATATACTTTTTGTGCTTACTTAAATACCAATTGGAAGGGTTTATGACAATATAAATGTCTTCTGGTCATAGTCGTTAAATTTTTTCTTGTAGTTCTATTACTACTACTTGTATATGTATCATACTTGAGCAACATTTTTCATATAGCTACAACTCAAGTATTTATTTCATTCATATTGGATGGTTCATAGTCATAACATAAAGTATATCTATCTATAAGGTTTATTATTACTTACAGTGCTAAATTATTTTATGAAATAATAAAACATCTGTGGTTTATCATCTATCTTGAAGGATTTATCATGTAATAGCTCTTTAAGTTGAATGTCTTACATTAGAAAATATCCTTGAACTATAACAGAGTTATACGATATATGGTTGCCAAAGTGATGTAATATTTTTAAATGTCTGAAGGCAAGTCCCAGTACATGCACTTTGGCTTATTATGCCATTAATTGAGGGTAAGACGGTGGGTTTAAGTCTCAACGCACCACAAGGGTAAGATATCGGGTTCGAGCCCTGGTGCACCGTGATTATAAGAGTTGGGTTTGAGTCCCAACTCATTATGGCCTAACATGCCGTTATACGGGTAAGACATTGGGTTCGAATCCCAATGTACCATATTGATGATATAATGGTGACTAAAGAAAATGTATTTTTCATGAAAAAGCATGAAGCTTGTCCCACTTGATTTGCTCCATTCTTGAAGCGAATTTGGTAGCGATGCATAATATGTCTAAATGAAGACAAGTGGTTGACCAATGAACGTGGCATGCCAAAGACCAAAATAATAATAGTCATCATTATGGTAAATGTAAAAATGAGAACAATAAGGGTTCTCAAAATAATCCTTCGCAGGTAAAGGAAATATGTATCAATATGGTCTGTTAATACGAGACACACTCACATGGTTATAGTCAATTCCTTAAAAATAGGATTTGTGATAAGCATTGTAAATGCAGATTCATTCCTGAAAGTGAATGTGAATATATATATATATATATATAAAATACAAATTATGCATAAGAATGTGCTTATGTATGGTTGAATAAATACTACAGCTCACCTCTACGGGAGGTTTGAGAGAAAGAAAGATAATGAACATTGTTGTGTGGTTACATGAATATGTCATTGATCGCGTACATTTGGTACGCCGAAAATATATTGTCATACCTTATAAAAGGTTATTAGAGGCAAAATTAAAGCAAGAAATAATTTTGCTTATGATGATTTTAACCATGATATTATTATGATATGATTTCTCCGTGAAGGAGACATTCACCATATAGATGGTGTGACAAAAGATCTTGTAGTACAAAACCAATTAAGAGCTCTGAAAGAACTTATTTTTTATTACCCAGATGAATGAAATTATTCATGGCATTGATATTGTAGTAAGTCTCAAAAGAAACTTTTGAGTTTCAAATATATAAGCCAACGTGGTTGGCATATTGAGACTATAAATGTAAGGAAGATTGAATATCTTCGTATTACTATAATCATACCGGGTAAATATGCATGAAAGGCTACCCGACTTTTCTTCTATTTGTACTACACAAGTTTAAGCGTGATGGTAAAATCACATGCCACAAGCAAACTAGAGGTTTACTGAAACATATATCAATTGGCATGACCGGTTGGCCATCACGGTTCAATTATGATGCGAAAAATTAATTGAGAATTCACATTGGCATATATTTAAGAAATAGAAGATTCTTCAAGAATTCTCTTGTACTGCTTATTCTCATGATATACCAGTTAAGGTTGGGATTGAATCCCTTGATTTCTGGAACGAATAAGGTGATATATATATATATATATATATATATATATATGTCATCTGCCATATGGACTGTTTACTATTATATAATTTTAGTAAATGCATCTATTGTATGGTCACATGTGCGTTTGTTATCAACTTGCAATTTGGTTTTGCAAGATTGTTTGCTCAAATTATTAGAGCACAATTCCAGAATGTAAATTATGATGATTTATCTTGTTAATGCTGGTTTAAATCCAAGTTGGTTTAGCAAAAATTGTATGCCTCCAATTTAGCTAAACCATTGGTTATGAGAACAAAACTTTCTAATAGAAATTTGGTATGAGGTGTATTATTTAATATACCACAGCACTTGTACGCATCTAGCCAACAAGTTATGATAAATTCTCCCTATCATAATTGGTTCAGGGTCAGGAGCCAAATAATTTTTATCTAGAAACATGATTGTGCTATATTATGCCACCACAATGCACAAAGATGAATTCCCAAAGAATGTTGGGAAATGTGTTGGTGATCCAACATTAGGGGGAGAAAATGGGAAGCTGAAAAAGTTATACGTAGAATGAATTATTATAAATATATCTAGATCCTCGTACAAGAAAATGTAAACTTGAAGCTCAAGTGATAATTCATTTCCAAAATATTGCTAGGCGCATTTGCTGACCCAAACCTAAATGTCATATTTCAGCTATTAATGTTCCAAATAGAATAAAGTCCATGATGGGCAGAGTTTATGACACGCATGAAGCGTAATAGACTAATCGGTTCCAAAGATAAAACTCCTTGAAGAAGGAGAGGAGTAAATGTTCAAGATGGTCATAATAAGGAGGCAAGTGCTTTATAAGAGCACCATGACATAACACGTTATAAGACTTCATGGGAGAGGATCATGTACCTGAAAATAATGAGATCTCGATAAGTTATGTCTTTATTGATTGATGATGGAACCGATGTAAAATGATCATCGATGATATTGTTGATATAATGTAGCGCTCAATGTTATTAATATTGACGAGGATCTTAAGCTCAATCTGTCATGGAATTTGGACAGATAAATGATTGGCCAAATGAAAAATACGCAATAAAAATTGACTTCACCCGAAAAATATGAAATTGGACGGATAGTCCATTGTGCAAAAAGTGAAATGAAAAAATCAAGTCGATAGACATAAAGACGACTTGCGGCACACGATTTTTTTGTAAATATCCTGGCACTAGTTATATGAAGACAGGTTCTCCTGTGGGGATGAAATTATTTTCAGGTTTTAATATGGCAGTACATGAAAAACTTGATATGCGTATAATGAAAATCCTTGAAGGATTTAAACTGTTCCGAACCATATAGAGGTTCCCGAAAACTTTGTCAAATAAAGCTTCAGCATTCCATGTATGACATATATGATTTATTTTTGTGTCTTAGTGCACTGGGTGCACTTATGTTTCTTGCTAGAACCTTGAGTATAACGTTATACTAGCAAGATTTAACTTAGTTCGACATGGAGACACTGGAATGTAATTAGTAATATATTAGAAAAGGAATCTTTGATATGGATTTGTTTATTCTAACAAATATTATCAAGGTTTTGTTGGTTATGCAAATGCAGGCATTTTCTGAAATTCGTTTTTCAAAGAATCTATTTGCATGTGAGGGTACTGCCATATTATTATTTCACAAGGCAGTCAATTGTTGATACTTATCCAAGTCATGTCAATATACTAGCAATTGATAAAGCAAATGACTCAACACACAACATATGTGTGACTTTTCCTTGAAGAGAAGATTCTAATAATAATGAAGGCGATGATATTTGTTTATCTCAATTGAAAGACGGATATATTGAAGGAGACAGAATAAAGCATATATTTCATCAAAGTTCTTTATCAGACAAAATCTTCATCGAACGGTGAAATAGACATTCAACAAATTTGTTCG